CCCCCCCTCACCGATTTGGGCTTCTCTCTGTTTTTGCGTTTTTTGTCTCTTTACTTTTTGCAACTGTTGGATCTGATTAGGGTTTCTTCGAGTAAAGTGGTTGTGATTCTAGGTCATTTTATTGCAGTTACCGATCTGGGTTTTGTTCTGTTCAAGTTGGAAAGAAGAAAGAAGCTGAGGCAGCGTTAAGGGGTTACCTAGTTTTTTCTCTTGTCGTTATTCATTTAGAGAGAGAGAGAGAGAGAGAGTGTGTGTGTGTGTGTGTATGTGGGGGAAGGGGGAATAAAGGGGAAAAAAAGATAGAAACTTCTTTTGCCACCATTGGATTCCCTCGGGGTATAAATTTGTATTGGGTTTTCTTTAGAGTGTTTAATAATCTTGAAGAGGAGGAAATATAGAAGAAGAAATGGCTAATCGATGGTGGGCTGAAAACATACCCACCACCACGGACAGCAGCACCAGCAACCCTTATTCGACTCCATTAAAGCAAAGCATAGAAGCTGTCGATGAAGAGAATAACTCCGGCGGCCATGAGAGAGCCGAACCAGGCACCAGCTCCAGCACGCGCCGTCCACGTGGTCGGCCACCGGGATCCAAAAACAAGCCGAAGCCGCCAGTGGTGGTCACGAAAGAGAGCCCCGATGCTCTCCGGAGCCACGTTTTAGAAATCGGCAGCGGCAGCGATATCGTCGAAAGCATCTCAAACTTCGCCCAACGCCGTCAGCGAGGAGTTTCGGTTCTCAGTGGAAATGGGGTCGTCGCCAATGTCACTCTCCGGCATCCGGCAGCCCCTAGCGGTGTTATTACGCTACAGGGACGATTCGACATACTGTCGCTCTCTGGTGCATTTTTGCCTGCCCCAGCTCCACCGGGAGCTACTGGGTTAACTGTCTACTTGGCTGGCGGGCAGGGGCAAGTTGTTGGTGGCATTGTTGTCGGTGCCCTCGTTGCAACAGGTCCGGTCATCGTTATCGCTGCCACTTTCACCAACGCTACATTCGAACGGCTACCACTCGAGGAGGAGGAGGCAGCTGCTGGAGACAAGTCTGGAACAAGCCAGAACAATTCAACTTCTCAGAGCATGGGGGATCAACAGCAGCCTTCAATGGGCGTTTACAATATGGCTTCAAATTTGGTGCCAAATGGTCAGGTTTCTTCACATGATGTGTTTTGGAGTCCTCCTAGAGCCCCACCTCCATTTTAAGAGAGATGTGATAGAGTGAGAGAGACAAGTAGGTGCTAGTTTTGTTTGAACTTTGAGAACTTGATCAAGTTGAGCTGGTAGGATTTTGTTTGTTTATATTTTGCTTTTCCCTTCTTTTCTTGTTGAAACTCATTTCTCTTTTGTAATGTTGTGTTATGTGGTGGAATGAAGTATTATCATATGAGGATTCTTCTTTCTAATTCTCATCTTTGTCAGAATCAATGAATCTATAGCGTTGTAGGTGAACAAGTGGAAGTATGAGTTCGGAGCCCCAATATCCATCGATCAGGTACATGCTTGTCTCCCTTTCACAGCTATTTCTATGATCATTCCTTTTCCAATATGCATATCATGACAGTTTTGAGCAACATTTATCAAAATCCCTTAACGGGCGTTTGTCTTGCTAGTTTGAACACTAGAGTTGATGAGTATATGTTTTTATGCCATTGAAATATGCTGCATTGTTAGGCTATCTTCATCGACATAGACACATCGTTTATACACGTCTAACCATTAAGAACTTGTGAAACAAACGCCCCCTATAGTCGAAGGAAGCCCCGCCGAGCTTTGGGTTATCGTTCGGTTTTAATGGTAAAGTTGATAAGAGTTTTAGGTAAACATGTCTGGAAAGTGACCAAATTGATTGGTTTGATTTGGTTATCTATGATGGGTTATCCAGATGAGTGTTGAATTTTTTTTTTCAACCACTCTCACCCACTTGCTTAAACATGATTCTTTGTGCTGATCTCTTTAAATCGCTGTTTAACTCATTAGTTAGTCACTCCTACTGTTTAATCACTGTTGATAATCCTATGCCTTTCTACCCTTTTGTTTGCTTAAAGTATCTCTTCCTTGTTCATGAACACTTCCTATGGTTGATTTGGTGTCTGATTGAATGCTTTGTCAACGTTAATAAGAAGAATCTTTAGCGTCGTATAAAACGATTAAAACGGTATGTGTATGCTCTAGCTTTGACATAATAGTTTATGTACAAAAATAGATATATTTCAAGCAGACTTAGTCTAACATGGAATCTTAATATGCATAATCAGTGAGTCCTCTCTTTGGTGACGTGTCTAGATTTTTACATTTTCTTTCGATTCGGTGTTTATTTCGTAGACGATGTGGTGAGTCGAATCATCTTGTGACGTTTAGCAGTTTAAATTTATTTTATCATCTTAAAATTGCATGTTTGTCAATGTTTACATTTCTTTTTGAAATTGCTGTTGGTCAATGGAGGTTGGCATCCGTGCTAGGAATAAGTTCTTAGATGGTTCTAGGGCTGAAAAGTATGACCATATATGGCTATAATTTTTTCTTTTTTGCCGTTAAAGTTATCTTTTGACTTGAAATTTGAGACGTTTCTTGCAGTGATGAACTTTGAATTCAACAAAACACATAGAGATTTACTTTACAATGGTTGCCTTAACTGGATGGATTGATTGAGCCTAGTTCTAATTCTAATTTTGTTGTTTCAAACCAATTCAATTTTCACTATATAGAACGTTGTGGAATGGTTAAAGTGACATGATTTGAAGTCGAGATTAGGTGAACGAACTTGATAGAGTTCTATTCCAGAAGTGTACTTTGTAATTGATGAGTTCTTGCATCAACCATTGCTCAAGTTTGGAAAGCTGTTCATCTTCGACCATAAACTGGGAACAAAAAACTTACGTAACCATCGAGCTATTAAACCCGAACAGGAAAAGGGTCCGTAATATTGAGGTTCTTAGACGTGTAGGTGAGGCTATGGAGCTGTGATGGAGGAGTTTTGTCCTATTTTTCTTTCTACTTGAATCAACATTGGAATAATTTTTTCGACACTGCTAGCAGTATTATCAATCAATAGTTGCATCTAGTAGCATTTAGCTATGTTTGTATACGATACTACAAAGTATGAAATGGTAACAGAAGATCAAAATAGTGGGTGAAAAAGGCATTAGAACTTATAAAACAGAAGCTTTCCTATGGGAGTGGTAATGGAAAGGCAAAGAGGGTTTATGAAGTTAAATAACTTTCGGTGGAGCCCTTTTGAGCAATAAATAAATCAAAGGGAGAGCCAGTGATTGACACATGCTGGGTTTGTGGAAAAATGGGTGCATGCTCTTTCTTATCACCTTGGAATGGGAGGTGGGCCTTCATCATGGCGCTGATCATCATGCTAAATAAGCCCATCTAAACTTAGCTTTCAAAGATTTGGTGTCTATTTAATTATAACCAAGTGTAACAAATTTAAATTGGGAGCCTATGATTGGGAGTTTGGAAACCTCTTCTTAGTTGAAGGCGTTTTAAAATTGTGAGGCCAACAGTGACTCGTAATGAGCCAAAATGGAATTGTGAGGCTAATAGTGACTCGTAATGAGCCAAAATGGACAATATCTGCTAGTAGTGGGCTTGAGTTTTTACAAATGGTAATAGAGCTAGACAACGGGCCGCGTGTCAACGAAGATGCCGAACTTCCAAGGGGGATTAGATTGTGAGATCTCACAACGGTTGGAGAAAGAAACGAAACCTTCTTTATAAGAGTGTAGAAACCTCTCTTCAGTAGAACGCGTTTTAAAATTACGATGATGATTCGTAACGGGATAAAGCGGACGATATCAGGTAATGGTGAGTCTAAGCTTTTACAAAGAAATTATTGATGTCGATAGAGCATAACTCGATAGATAATAGATAAAACATTAATTATTGGCCAACTAAACATTGCTCAAAATCAAACAAGATAGATAGATTAAAAAAAAAAAATTGACATAATTATTTTCAAAAGGAAGACGAATATTATTATTCCATGCAAAAGGGCAACTACAAAACTTCTTCATCATCATCATCATCCAAGTATCCATGGATAGCCACCAAAATTCTCCTCATCATCCAAGTATCCATGGATAGCCACCAAAATTCTCCTCAACTGAAACATCAAAGCCTGATGTCTCAACAACATGATTTGAGTGGCAGAACCCAAAGCCTCCATCTTTTTCCCCTAAACAAAGCAATGGAGATATCATTTGATCATCCTTTTGGACATCATCAGAAGTTCGGTAGGGAAGCAGCTGAGAAGGCAGCTCATTTTGACAATGGTTTGAGTTCATCCCAAAATCATTCATCTCTATAAATGGATTCTCCACTGCTGAAATGGCGGCGCCGGTGGTGAGGAGGTTGGCTATTTGGGTCCCCAGAATTTGTATCTCCTCCTGCAAGCTGGCCACCTGCATCAGAAAGATTTTAAAAACATTTTAAAAACCCATGAGGTGTTTAAATGTTTAGAGGTTTGAAAACAACCTCTTGCTGCAACGCAAAGATATGCAAGACGCAGCCATTGGCGGGATCTCGCATGCGCTCAAGAGCTTCATAAGTGACGGTAATAGCAGCCTGGGTTCGGACATGCATGGGGAGATGCAACAGAAGCTTGGACACATTACTAGCTCCAAACACTTTATGAACAGCCGCAAAATGGGAAGTGGCTTCATCATAGCTGAACAAAGGAGCAAATACACATTGATCGCTGCATTTTCGCCTTAGAAACTTGCAGGCACCACAAGAAGAGGAAGAGGAAGAAGAAGAAGAATCATAAGAGTTAAGTACAGTCATTGGGTCAACAATATGATGAGTTTTAAGTACAAAAGAACGAACAAGTTTGAGGTCTTTATAACCCATCATTTGCAATATTATTTTTTGCTCCATTCTCCTGTAGTACCCTTCTTTTTGTTCTATCCAAAAGGCATACCATCTTTTTTGAGCTAAAGTTATGAGTATGTGCTTTCCTTTTTAGGGTCTCCTTTGTGGGCTACACTGTCACCCTCACATCGGGGTAAGGGCTTTCCCATTTTGTGCCTTCAAACACCCTAATTTTTTCAAAAGATTCTTCCTCTTTTCTGGGCTACGTAATATAGAAATTATATCCCCTTCAGTTGTTCTTTCTATTTCAGCTATTTATTTCGACATATTTCAATCCTAAATTACACTTAAAAATTACTAATCATTCTTATCTCATAACCCAATTTCATGATTTGTGTTTGTCTGAGGTAATTCAAACATTAGTATTTATTATTGTTAATTATTTGCTTGGATTGGAATAAATTAATATAATAATTTAAAAATATATTTTGATGTAAAAAAAAATAAAATTAAAGGTTAGTGGTTGAGGTCAAGTACAGGGACAAATATTCTCATTCCAACTCGGCTTCAAATTATGATTTTTGCCAATGCATTTGCTGGACTAAATTTTGAAGAAAAAAATATTTTTATATATTTTCAAAATTTGAAATAGATTTATATTTTCATGGTTGATTGTAGCCATTAGAATAAATACATTAAAAAAGAAGCCCCTTTATGCAAAATTCAAATTGAGAAGCCCCATTTATAGTTATTATAATGCTTTTGAGTGAAAATCCAGAGATGGGTAGATGCATTTCGGCTAAAAAATAATAATAAAAATAAAAGATGAGAAGACAAATTGTATCGTTTTTTTGTGCAAAAAAGTAAATAAATGAATAAAACATGCGTAGGGTTTGGACATAGATTTGCATGAGTCATGGGTAGTTATTTGTCTGCATGTTTTACTTAATTCTCTATTATTATCCTTAATTATTACAGTTTTATAATTAAGCTATGGATTATGGTTTCATATTTTAATCTAAAAAACTAATGGGGTTTGGCTGTTGCCCACTTCATCATTATTATTATTGGTGTTACCGGTAAAACTACATTATTTTCCCTTAAATAAACCACTTCCTTTCTTCTACTAATTACACCGCCTTCTATAAAACCAACAACTTTTTCCTTCTAGAACCATGCATTAACTTTAAATTAAAAGACTAAAGTTATATGAGAAATATATAGAGCGCGGTGGAGATTGGCGCATTGGTCTTCGAGTTTAACGATGAAATTACTTTTTAATTATTAATGGATATGTTTGGCTAGGCAGCCACATTTAGCAACGGGCCCATACTGCTCTATATTCTTTCTAATTATATTTAAAATGTAGGCTGTCGCATCTCTTGATTTGATCCAAATAATAGTGTGACGTCCAAGTAAAAAATATATATATGTAAATCTAATCTTATGTTAAAATATAATATATGTAAATTTATTAACCAAGTAAATAAAGAAATAAAGATGTATATATACATGGGTGAGGTCTGAAATGGAGAATATAATCTTTATCCTCGTTTCCATTTAGTCATTGAGGAGAAATCTCTCCATCCTTTCTTCCATTTTTATTTTAAACAAAGATTTTGTGCACGTTAACGTACATCTCTACTCTCCCCCCATACAATTCAATTTGAAACCTCTCGTTAATCATTTATATTTATACACCAACCCGTTAAAACGAGAAGCTAAAAAAAAATTCTATTTTATACCATAAATGAATTAACTTTAGATTAAACAATGTATTACTTACGAGATTAAAAGACGTTAATGATAAATTAATACACTAACATATTTGTTTTTATAATAGATAAAAGTCGAGTGAAGGTAGTGTGATTGATCGACCCCATCATGGGACCCAAACAAATACAAAATAGTAGATAGTAGGAAGGAAATGAGATGGAATGGGGGTATGGTTATGGAGAAGAAGAAAGGCTGAAAATGAACCTATCCTTATCCTTCCTTCTTCACCTCTCATTTGGTTGAAAAATGTAGATGCACAAATGGGCCTCCCATCAACTTGTGATCCAAATTCCACTTTAAGTTAAACACAAATAAAGCATAGTTTATGTTTACTACTTATATAAGCATTAATTTTTCCTACTTAATCCTCTTGCTTATGCTTTTAGAGGTAAATTAGTAGCTATAATGGGTTCGATTAATGTTAGTTAGCTTCTTCTACGAGTCCAATCCCCAAACTTGAATTTGTGCTGAGCTCAAGGGAGAGCGAACAATGTCCTTTATTAACCAGTGGAATTGATAGCTCTTTTGCAATTGGACGGTTATAAATGGTATGAAAGTCAGACATCGAGCAGTGTGGCAGCCAAGATGCCAGATCTCCCAAGGGAAGTGGATTGTGAGATCCCACATCGATTGAAGAGGAAAACGAGACATTTCTTATAAATGTGTGCATTTTAAAATCGTGAGACTGACGACGATATTTAACGAACCAAAGCGAACAACATCAGCTAGCGGTAGACTTCAGGCGGTTTAGAATGTGACCCACCAAACTGGTGGTAAGGAATTGTGTTATTTTGTTTGGGAGGAGAAATGGAGCAATGGGTGAGCTTGATTTAACTTAGGTTCTCGTGGTTGGCCAAAAATTTAATGGATAAGAAGGCTCCTTTAAAGCCAACCACTAAGGTCTTCGAGGATCAATACACAAGCCTTGTCCTTCTGCCACGTGTCCTCTCAGCTAATCTTAACTTTGTGGTCGTTGAGGAATCCTGAAACTTATGGTTAGGATATCGTTTTTGAATGGACTCAAAAGCTCCATCCTTGCTTCTATATAGTCCTCCTCACTGCCCACTGCTGTTTATCCTCCATACTTCCCCCCAAGTTTAGCTTCCTCTGTCGATCCTTTACTCTCGAGTTCCGATGGCTGCCTCTGCTGCCTCTGTCGGAGTCGTCAACCGTGCACCGGTGCGTATATTTTTAACTCTTTACTTGAATTATGCTAAAAAGTTGAAGTTTTATACTATAAGCTGATGAATTGCGTTAAATTTCAGCTGAGTTTGAATGGCTCTAGTTCGCCAACTTCAGCTTCGAGATCGATGCTCTTCGGGAGCAGCTTGAAGAAAGTGGTGAACTCAAGGATCGCCTACCCCAAGGTGTCGTCAGGCAGCTTCAAGGTGATGGCATCAGACTCCGACAAGGCGGCATCCAACACCGACGAGGATCTGGACAAGCAGACATCAAAAGACAGGTGGAGAGGGCTTGCCTATGACATATCCGATGACCAACAGGACATCACAAGAGGAAAGGGACTGGTGGACACTCTGTTCCAAGCCCCCATGCAATCTGGAACCCATTACGCTGTTATGAGCTCTTATGAGTATCTCAGTACAGGACTTAAATCGTAAGACACACAAACAAAGACAAGACAGTTCAAAATTTGTGTATTTTTTAGCTGGTCTTGTTCTTTTCTTATGAGTATTTCTGTTTTGGTGTTGAATTAATTCGTAGGTACGAGGGATTGGACAACGTATTGGATGGTTTGTACATTGCTCCTGCTTTCATGGACAAGTTGGTTGTTCACATCACCAAGAACTTCTTGTCCCTTCCAAACATCAAGGTTTTCAAAATTTAATTATATGAACATATACCCTTTTAAAAGTCATTCCAAATTGAATAAGAAAGTTCTAATTTTTGCTCCTAAAATGTTGAAAATTGAAAGATTATAAGCTCAAGATTTCTGGGTGCAGGTTCCTCTGATTCTGGGTCTGTGGGGAGGCAAAGGACAAGGAAAATCCTTCCAATGTGAGCTTGTATTCAACAAGATGGGAATCAAGTGAGTCCAAAATCGTATTTAGAACTCCAAGTTTCACAGTTTTATATATAAAATTGGTCTGCTTTTCTAAGACTTGCTCGTTATTTTGTTGCCACAGCCCAATCATGATGAGCGCCGGAGAGCTGGAAAGTGGCAACGCCGGAGAGCCGGCTAAGTTGATCCGTCAAAGGTACCGTGAGGCGGCTGACATAATCAAGAAGGGAAAAATGTCTTGCCTCTTCATCAATGATCTGGACGCTGGTGCAGGTCGTCTTGGTGGCACCACTCAGTACACTGTCAACAATCAGATGGTTAACGCCACCCTCATGAACATCGCTGACAACCCGACCAACGTCCAGCTCCCTGGAATGTACAACAAGGAGGATAACCCTCGAGTCCCAATCATCGTCACTGGTAACGATTTCTCCACTCTCTACGCTCCTCTCATTCGTGACGGTCGTATGGAGAAATTCTACTGGGCTCCTACTAGAGAGGACCGTATCGGTGTCTGCAAAGGTATTTTCCGCACTGACAAAGTCGCCGATGAGGACATTGTCAAGTTGGTCGACACCTTCCCAGGCCAATCCATCGGTCAGTTTCTAAACTTAAAATACAAAGCTCGAACTACAAGTAGGCATACTTAACCCGTTTTCCTGTTTTGTTGGACAGATTTCTTTGGGGCACTGAGGGCGAGAGTGTACGATGACGAAGTAAGGAAGTGGATCATTGGAGTTGGAGTCCAGGACGTAGGGAAGAAGCTGGTGAACTCGAAAGACCCACCGCCGAAGTTCGAGCAGCCAGCAATGACACTGGAAAAGCTGCTGGAGTATGGTAACATGTTGGTTCAAGAACAAGAGAATGTGAAGAGGGTGCAATTGGCTGACAAGTACTTGAATGAAGCTGCTCTTGGCAATGCCAATGAAGATGCCATTACCAGAGGAGCTTTCTAAACTAAGCTTTTGTTCGTGGGAAAGGCTGATTATGGGATTTGCCCAATCTACTCAATATTTGCAGGCCTTTTTGTTCTTTCTTCTTTTGTGGAACCAAAATCACATATCAAAATTGTTTCTCATTCAGTGACTTTGTGTATCAATTTGCTTTGTCCTTAAGTCATTCAATGGGCAAAATCTATGTTTTGCTTCTAAACTTTATGCTTCCAATCACTCTTACCTTCAATCAGTTCTAGTTCTACTTTCTTAATGAATCCAAATCATCATATAAAAACATAACTAAAAACGAAATCGTTATCAACTATAACCAGCAGCCAGCTCAAACTTCAAGAACGAAAAAAGTCGACGAAATAACAAAGATGAACCAAAATCTCATACATCATCAGAAGAAACAAAACCTACAAAAAAAAAAAAAGGAAAAAAAAAAAAA